ACACAGTGGTAAAAATGGACTTGTCCCAACTTTTTTGGGATTTGTTGACGCCATGAAATTTGGAAACAACAGATTTTTCCCTTAAAATGATACATTCTCTCAGTTTAAACTTTTGATCTGTGATTTGTGTTCTATTCTGAATAAAATATTAGATGTTGGCACCTCCACATCATTGCATTCAGTTTTTATTCACAATTTGTTTAGTGTCCCAACTTTTTTTGGAATCCGGTTTGTATAAAGGCGTTTTAAACCATTCCCACACTCTTGCATTATTCTAAACAATATTTCTATACTCAAATGTATAAAAGAGCACAGAATGTCTCAATTTCACCTCTCTGCCTCCTCTGCTCTTTGCTCTTTGCTTAGCTGCAGCAGGAAGTTTATCCTTCAGTGTGTTCTGCCATAATTATTCCATGCTGATCATGCAGCTCATCCATCAATCAGCCAGTTGTGTGTCATGTCCAATCTTATTTTGAAAAACCGTGATAGAGAGAGTTGGCGATAAATGAATCGCAAAGTATCGAGGGACTACTGTACAGTAGACAACAACATGATAGAATATAATGGTGAAAGTAGGATGAATTTGTATAAATAAGTATATCACCTGTAGTATTATAAGCTTAAATGCACATGATATATAATGCTCATTCCATATTACACTACTACTACACACCATCCATCCATCCATCCATCCATCCATCCATCCATCCATCCATTATCTTTACCTGCTTCTTCCATTTTGGGATGCAGGGGTCACTGGTGCCCATGTCCAGCCGTCACTGTTTGAGACGCGGGGGACAACCTGGACAGGTCTCCAGTCCATCACAGGGACACATAGGTTTTCACACCTGATAGTCCGCTAGACTCGGTTCGGTTGGGGACCAATATTCATAACATTTTGTTTACATTTGAGCTGTTGTGTTTGCATTCACACTGCACTGTGCAGTCGAGCCAACCTGTTTGAACCAACCTGTTCCACCACTCGCCTGTGGTGGTGCTGCACCAAGAACTACTGAAAGAAACGAAACAAAAACCTCTGAAGAAGACACTTCTTCTTCTTCTGGAAATAAGAACAAAAACCGAGTGGGGTCAAATTTTAGCGGTTTTAGGAGTTCTATTTTGTTATTTTTCAACAATGGACTCAACATGAGTGGAATATGAGGCAGAAGACCATGGAGAATGTTGTTTTTCACACAAGGCAGCTGACAGCTCCATATGAGGTAAGAGAAATGCGTGTTTGTTCACCCTGCACTGTAGTCCACTTCCTGCTTGCGGAGCAGTGCCCGGTCTCCTTGCATTCACACTGTACTCGAACCGCGCTCGAGTTTTTTTCTACTGGACCGAGATCTAGGTTTTTAGGTGGGCCAGAGTTTGCCTTTTTGTTCCATGGCAGAGTTCGATGGCGCGTTCACACTTCCCCAAACGAACCGGACTTCCTAGTCAAACGGGTTAGAGTTCGGGACAACAGGGCTGGTGTGAATGCACTCATAGAGACAAGCAACCATTCATTCTCTCACTCACACCTAGGGACAATTTAGTGTTACCAATCAGTCTAACATGCATGTTTTTGGTCTGTGGGAGGAAACCGGAATACCCGGAGAAAACCCACGCATGCACTGAGAGAACATGCCAACTCCACCCAGAAAAGCCGCGGACTGGGATTTGAACCAGGGTAACCCACTCTCTGAGAGGCAGCAACTCTACCAATTGCGCCACTGTTCTGCCACTACAAACTAAATATCTACAGTATAAACTGACCACCCATATCCATCTATCCATTATCTTTTACCCACTTCTTCCATTTTGGGTCACATGGGTTGCCGGTGCCCGTGTCCAGCAATCACTGTGCAAAGGGCGGGGTACACCCTGGACAGGTCGCAAGTCCATCACAGGACCTGTCCATCCATATCATTTGAGAAAACGTTGTTTCTTATTTTTTTATATTTCTTAAAAAAAGTAAAGATTCCTCAAATGATTGGGTCAAAAGAGCAATGTGCTGACTTTCATTGTGGCGTGTGGTTGCACTGCCTTGGACAAGCAACAAAACCAAACAAAAACGTGTACTTCTGTTCTTCTGCACACCACTATGCACCTAAAAAATTAAGGTTTACTTTCATTTCCCATTCAATTCCAGTAAAAAATAACTCATCTAGAAAAGTACAAACAGTCTCTATACAAATCCCTTAGTGACTTCTGCATCTGCTTGTTTCTTAAATATTGATGGTCTGCTGGAAGTAACTATGCTCACCCATATAGCACCTACCAAGATGGCTGCAGGAACACTCGCCTTGTGTGCCGTGATTGGCCGTTCCATCATAACTCTATCTCGGCGTATCACATTATGTTGCTGTATGTGTGTGTTTTCCACAGAGGATTGTCACCAGTGCCATGAGCATCCAGCTGCCTTAAATATGGCTCCTCATGACCCAGAATCAGCAGAAACTGTGAAAGAGCGTCCAGTAGAAGACGTGGCAGCTTGCCTGGCCCAGCAAGACCAAGATGAAAAGAACAGTTTGGCCAGTAAGATTACAGCACCAAGTAATGAATGAATGTATAGTGGTGTAGTCAATACTGCTTTTTGCCTCAGTTAGTGATAAAAATGTTAAAGTATATCTGCAGAAGCCCAGTCTTAATCCAATTTTATATACCTCAAAACCTCAAATTAATCATTTTATTAAAGCTACACATGCAGCAATAATCCATATGATTGAATTCAGTCAGATTTTTGAGCGGTTAGCCACAGAGGTCATTTTGTACAGTCTGACAGTGTTGAGGCTCGAAGTTCTCCATTTGTCTTGCAGCTGTATCAGCCAGTCTGGAGGACTCCCTGGCGAGCTCAGCTCAGGCTACGCTGCAGGCCATTGGAGCTCAGGAAGTAGCGCTGCAGGCCATCAGCAAGCACACACACAAACTGAAGGAGGCCATGGAGGCAGAGGTACTGACTGATAAACAGAGTATATTGCATCTTTATTCATTAATATTGTTTGACTCCAAGAACTAAATCAGCAGAAGCTGTGAGACTAACAGGCTGTGTGCTCCTACGGTGCCAGAGCACAACTGGCACAACACCTGTTTGTCTGTGAGCTTTTAGAAATGAAGCAGTAAAGGCAGTAAAATGTAAAATACTGTACCAGTTGTATGAGACAAATACAACAGACTGAGAGTCAAACTCAAATTAGAACAGTAGTTCTCAACTTGTGGGGCGCATGGACGGGAACTCGCTTGAGCTGGGTTCATATGAAGCTTTGATAAATTAAATAATAAATTATGTTTTCTGTTCCCTATTGAAGAGTGAGGAGAGGAAATTGGAAATACTGTCTGCCCATTCGTCTGTGCATGTTGTGAGCATGACAACTTGACAAATAAGTGAGGAGCTGACTTCCATTTTGTTGTGTGGCTTCATCTAGGCATAAGAAAGATTTATTTTGAAAACTGGGTTGCCAGGTCAAAATCCAGGCTGGCCACCACCATATACACACGCACATATGTGTGTGTATATATATATATATATATATATATATATATATATATATATACACA